GCTAATTACTCCCTTGCAGTCAGCAAGGATCGGGAGAGACTCCTCGTTTATCACCAAGGTGATGTAACGTTGCTGCTCCCTAACCCCGCTGACCTTCACTACTTTCCAATCAAGGGCTGGTAGTGCATCATTTGAGACCTGGATGATATCCAGAATCTCCTCAGGACTCGAGGGTTCCTCTGGGACCCAGGCTCTGGCTCGCGGCTTACAAGGGATTTCATCCCTGTGCACTGCCACCAAGTCAGCGCTGGGCCACAGTTCCCCAAGAGAAGAAATTGCTTCCTTATAAAGTCGCGCCGACCGTTCATCAGCGCAGGAAACTAATTTGATGCGGCCTTGGTAGAGACCAGCATCGCAGACAGTTGGCGCAGGGCCAGGATTTTTCCGGAGAATCTCCTTGTACACCCGGCAGAGACCCACCAGGACGGACCTCCAGTTGTCGGCCGTCAGGTTTCCTTCCGGGTGCCCCCTATCCATAACTGCCAGGATCAAGTGGTCCTTGGCCACATCACTGAAAGCCCTCAGAGCCCTTGGAGGGTTAAGAGGGCTGTTAGCGTTAGAGGTTTTGGGCCTCTTAGGAGCAGCATCCACGTTGTCTGCTGACCGTTGCCTTTTGCTGCCCAGCTCCCTAGGACGAGAGAGAGTGGGTGCAGGTTTGTTGGCGGCATTTCCTTCCTGAGGTCGCTCACGACTTTCGGAGAGAACACCCCTCGCCCTCTCAACCACTTCCCTCATACTCTCGGGAACCGGGTCATTGCCGAACTTCCTCAGTAGTCTAGAAGCGGCTCTTCTGTCCCTCTTCGCCCTGACTGCTGGTCGGACTTCTTTTTTGGTCCTCGAACCACTGGGACCTGGGACGCCTTTGCATTGATCCGACTTCTTACCCTCAAGGGGCTTGCGGTCGGTGGTGCTGTCCGTGCAGGACTTCCGGGTGCCAGTATCGCCTTCTCCCGGCGCCGCTTTGGAGCTGCCCTCAAGGGGTGTACTCGCAGCTTCCAGAGATGTGGACGATTGGCACGAGAGGTCAATTGGCCGTGCAGGCTCCGCTTGCAACCCAGACGACAGTTGACCACTACCCACCAGGGGTTTGTTGCTACTGACGCCGGGCGCAACATTTAGTACTGTTAGCCGTTTAGGCTCCTTCGGGACCGCTCCAGCGGCTACCGAAGATGTCGTTTTTAGACAGACTTTAACGCCGTGTCCGTCGGCGGCATTTTCACCCGTGCAGGGATCCGGGGCTACATTTTTCGAGTTCATTATTTCTGGTTCGTTGGTCGCCTACTGAGCCGAAACCGTTCGGCGACCGAATATATGGGTAAGGGGAAAAACGGTCGGCCTCAGCAGAGCCCCATGCTGAGGTAAGTCCACCGTTACTCCCGGAGGCGGACAGGTATCCGGGAGGCGCCGTTAGAATACAGTCGGAAAACCCCCTGACTGCAAACCATCCAATGGGCACGGTGACGCATGACACCCTGGATTAGGGGGGCGTTTTATACCTACCGCCAGGTACCCCCTAGAAATAGCCTAAGTATGCCCACCCCAGCCCCCCTCGGACGAGCCCGTACGGCCTACCACTAGACCTAGATGAGGCAGGGGAGTTTATACCTCGGCCTTGGCTAGGCCCCGCCTGCTTGCCCCACTGCAGCCATAGGAACAAGCCTACCTTGCCACAGCGGTGTAAGCAACGATGCCCATTGCCCAGTCGGCACCCGCTTGGAGGATATATCTAGGAGGATTTTCGCCATACATTTAAGATAATTTATGAATTGTTTGAGTGCGTTCGCCTTTAAATGTTTTTTTTTTTTTTTTTGTTTTTTAAAATGACCCCTTTCAAAAAGATTATAAAATATTTGTTATTTTCAATACGAATTATTTTTATTAATATTAAAAAAATTATTTAATTATTTTTTTTTTTACTTTAAAAACATATGAAATATGTTCAAGCCCATTTTTTAAACAAATTTATGGTTTTAGGAAGACAGAATTTGTACTTTTTTTCAAAGTAGCCTCAAGGGCGAACGCTAGTATTAAAGAAATGAAAAATAAAGTTAGTATTCTAGGATCAGTACTTAATTAGCCCGTAAGCGTTTTCTTTTATTGAAATACCAGGTAATCCTGAAAGTTTGGCAAGGCGAAAGTTGTTCCAGCGTTCCTTGGCTACTAGGATGGTTTGTTCTTTAACAAACCGCTTGAAAGTGGCTATTGCTAAGTATATCCACCGTGTCCTTTCCTGGAAGGTTTTGGGTGGTCCTACCTTTCTCTGTCAGTTCGTCAGCTTTTCAATTACCATCAATTTTCCGGTATACCCGGCAACCATATATATCAGTAGAATTCTACGCAAATATGTACGTTCTCGTTAAAAAAACTACAGCATTCAGCGGGGTACTTCACTATGTCTATGTGTGAGTCGAAAGCTTTCCTTCAAGCTTTGAATTTTTGATATATTTTCTTGTCACTTGTTTACATACAGTGGTCGAAAAAATTATAACCGCACCATATTTTGATAAGTTTTAACATGTTATGTTTTTTGTAATTTAATTTTTGTTGTTTTATAAAAATATTGTTCTTTCTTTAACAGAACTCAAAAAAATTAAAATTCCAAACTTCGTTCGATATTTAAAAAATTCAACAAACTTTCGAAAAAATTTTAGGTTAATGGAGCGCCGATTGCCTAAAAAGCTTGGTATCCTCGTATATACATATGTACAGACATATCGAGCCCTAACTGCCAAAATAACGCAAGCGACATTTCTTTAAAAATTTTCTTTTTGATGCAGAAAGGCATCGATATGTATGTTTGTACACTTCTGTACATAAAATAAGTTTGGTAATTTTTTGTTGAATTTGGTGACTTTTGCGGTGATTTTGGTAAAAAATAAAAGAATTTGTGGCAACACTGTTTGCAAAACGAGTTTACGGGCTGTGCATAGCTCAGTGGCTAACGCTTCTGACTTTGCACATCGATGACGCGGGTTAGATCCCTGCTGAAATCCAGAAAAAAGAAGTCTGGTGAGGAGATGTGGTGATCTCCGAAATAGCTGTTATAACGTCTACCGCATAGACTTTGTTGTTTTTTCCATTTTTCCTAATAAAATAATCCTGGTACAAAGCTCAATAAAAATATTAAAAATTAATTGTTAATAAGCCACAATAAAATTGACAAAAAGCATGTTTCTGCATTTGTACTATGTACAAAATATTAAGTAAATGTACGAATACAGAATTGTAGATTTCGTAAATTTTAAGACCATACATAAATATTACGAATGTCTTCCTACAATATACAAAATTATTCGTACAGAGATTTGTTTAGTAAATCACGAATGTGTTTTATAAAATAAAAATAAGATCTCATAAATTGTATTAAAAAATACCTTACGAAAATCCTTTCGTTATACTTACGAATGGTTCGTAAAATCTTGTTGCGTTGTGAAAAATGTGTTCGTATTATGAACGAAAGTTTCGTACAATGTACAAAACCAAGACTACGAAAGTTTTTCGTAGCCCTTTTACGAAACTTAATTTTCAGTGTAGGTTTAATTTAAGCCAAGAAGGTTCTATCACCTTTTGTTTCTTCGCTAGAGCTTCTAAAATATTGCAAAACCACGATTTTTTTAATCTGGCCTCGTCTTTTTTAATCTGGAGCTGATGGAAACTTTATGCTTACGGACTCGTAATCAGCGCAAAAAAATCTATCAAAAACAGCACTTTTGCCGTTGGGCTGTGTTATCCATTAACAAATTAGCGAAAATTCAGATATCCCTTTTTTCTACGGAAGTGCTTCCTTATGTGGTCTATAACACCCTTAGATTTCTTATTTACTTATATTTTTAGAAAATACTTCAATGAATATCATCATGCATGTGCAGTAGCCTGCGCCTTATTTTGCAACTTTGTCCTACAAAGCAAAACTCCCCCAGAACGGTTCATTTGGTCATAAAAACGTGACCTGAGAAAAATTGTTAAAATCGGATAACGGAAAGACGTGCCTCAAAGGCCCTTATAAAGTTCAGCAAATTCATGGAATATTTCACAAAGCGTTCAATACTTTGCCTATAAGTCAGTGAGATATGTAGCGCCAGCTGTTTGCCAGATACTTCTGTATGTGTATGTATGTATGTTGACCAAACAAAAGTAAATCGTACATCTATGTTAGCGGAGTGTGTATGTATGTGAGGA